AGTCTCAGGTTAGTTTAAGGGCGCTTTCTGAACAGACCACAACGCCTGTGAGTAAAAAAAACAAAAAAAAAACAACACCTGTGAGTGCACATATGTATACATAAATGTATTTATTTAATTAATTTTATTTTAAATAGTCAGAAAAATGTAGCTATTGCCATGAATAATTTTTGTAGTTGCAGCTTTGTAGTTTTTTCATGTGTATTCATTCTCTAAAAAAAATTCATTACATTGCAAATGATCTACTCTCATATCGAAAATGTGGTTGATGCACAAGGTGGTGCTATTGCTCTGTTTTTATGGAAAGACTGCAGCAGTACGTAATGTTGTTTAACTACTGAATATGGCCTGCTCCTGAGTAAAAGCATAGTAACATTAAGCATAAATGATAACCTCATAAACGTCTCCATCCATGAATAATCTTGTAGCGAAAACTAATCTTGTTGGAGTAATAGGGCTTTTATTGGGTTTGTTTGCTGAATCAATACGAATGTCTGTGCGCTCTTGGCAATACAAAACTCTTTTTAAGTAACAATTAAAATACCCTAACATGATTGATTTTACATTAACTGCCTCAGCTCTTAAAATAAGCAGAATAGTTTCCCCTCTAGTCCCTTTTATGTAAGTTTTGAGGTTTTCATCACTTGTGTTTTCACCCAATCCTGCTGTTTGTTGCAGCCAGAAGCGGTAATTTATGCATGTTTCTGAAAATGTCTGTTTTCTACCAAGCTCTTCCGTTTTTGTGATCCCTGTTAATCACACAAATTGCAAGTGCAAGGAATTGATTGGACTGTTGAGACGAATACGCCTGTGGTACGTCGTTGTCCCTCATTGCATTGGAGGTGAATGGCTAGCTAAAGCCAGCAGCAGTTCTTCAGTCGCTCCTCATTGAGGATATGAATGAGATTAAAGATGCTGCACAGAACTCCTGGTGAATGGTAAAAAGAGGACGTATTGATCAAACACGCCCCTGCAATGTATCACTGACCGTTGGTCTGTTTCTCTCAGTGCAAAAGCTGAGGCTGGAGAAGAAACCAGCGGGAATCACAATTTCGGAAAAGACACCAGCGGTAATAACAATCAGTTTTGCTCTGCTGTCTGTTATATTGTTGTTGTTGGGATACCAGAGTGTAAAGGCTGATGCCAGGAACTCCAAGGACAAATTTAGGTGTTTAAAATGCCTCACTTTGTATTTTGAGAGCTGAAAATCTCAGTCTGAGTTTTCATTTTATCAATATATGGACCCTTCTGAAAAGATTTACTTAGTTGGTTCCCAGCTTTTGTTATGTATATTGATCCTAGCATACTTTTTAACTAGTTTACCCAGACTACTTTAGTTAACCAGCTTCACCAGAAACCATGATATAGAAAATAAAATAGACACAGAAATAAAACTAGACACAAATTCGTCATTTGACGACATACAGATAATATGTAAAGACAAATAATTCTCATTCAGAAGCACACACACACACACACACACACACACACACACACACACACACAAGTATTTGACTAATAATCTTATTGCAAACATTTAAATGTGTGGGGGTGGACATTTTAATAAATAAATAAATAAATAAAATATTTTGTTTATTTAATTGTTTTATTTATTTAAAATTTAAAAAATATTTTTATTAAAAAGGAATATTTTTATTAAAAAGCAATATTTATTAAATATAGATTTATTCATTTATCAGAAAAATGCATTTATTTATTATTTATTTATTTAAACATTTATATTTTATGTATTAATTATGGATAATTAGAAAATATTAATTTAATTTATCAAATATGAAAAAACAGTATTTGTTTTTAATCGCACATCAACTTTGCAAGTAACTTTGTGTCTGGTTTTGTTTTATCTAATTTTGTTTATTTATTTATTTTTAAAAATATTTTCTTATTAAAAAGGAATATTTTCTTATTAAAAATGGAACTTTATTAAATATGAATATTTATGTGTCAGATATGAATTTAAGTTATAAATGTGAATATTTATTAAATACGGATTTATTCATTTATCAAAAACAAGTGTATTTATATATATATATATATAAAATATTTAATAATGCAGTAAATAAAACAGTAACATTTTATCACACACAAAATTTGCAAGTAACTTTCTCTCAGATGCTTCTCCCAAAATAAAAAACAACAACAATAGTCAATTATTGACACGCAGATAATATAAAAATGTAGCTAGCTAGAAGAACTTGAGAAATTTTGAATTTACTGTATATTATTCTGATTTTTAATTGTATATTTAGGTGCGTTAGCCAGTCTGAGCACAGTCTGAGATATTATTGAGATCACTGATAAGACACGTGAGATGTCTTTTCTCAGGAGAAACATCTAGCAAGCAGGAGACACCAGTACTAGTGTCCATTTGCTCTCCATTGTTGTTTTCTAGGTGGATGAGCTTTGAACCAGCTTGGAAAATTAAGCTGGTCTTTTTAGCAAAGGGCATTAATTTTCTTTTTCAGAATTATTTTCATCGTCTTCAGTAATGGGGTCAGGGGGTACAGCCAGGCCGTTTTCAGTAAACGCTGTTAAATGTGCATGATGTTAAAAAGCCTCTCTCCTGCAGCATCTTTCTCTCTGGTTTTCTCCTCTTTCTCCTAGTCCTGGCTGAGACATTTCTTCCTCTTCTCTTCGCTGTCTTGTTTGCAGTCACCTGCGCTTGTGAATAATGCAGCGTCTCCGTTGCGTGCATCGGTTTGAAAGCTTATTTGCCATCAGCATCCCTGAATCTTTTGTGGAGCACATGGTCCATCTAGTTGTGCCTTTTAAAAACAAACTGTAAAAAGCCTTTTGACTCCCCTGTTGGACCCTCTGGCATCCTCTCTGGCCACTTTCTATTTTTAATCCCAGTCTGGCTGGAGGCGAGGAGCTGAAGCCCCGAGGTGTTCAGCCATGAGCCTCTGATGTCAGCTTTGCTGTTGCAGGTTCAACCCATTGAGCTTTAATGGCAGCAGTTTTGGGCTGAGCTTTTGGTGTTGGGTGTTTGCCGACTGATCGTGTGTGATCTCTGCCTTCAGATGCTGTGATTTTGAAGTCATCTTAGTGCATGTAACCACTTTACATAAGACAAAACAGCACACATTTAATTTAACTTTTAAACTGTGTAATGCATTAATGTGATATGAATATTGATTTAATACAATTGTATGTAATAAAAAAATATATGTAATATGAATTTATGTAATATTAATATTTTTATTAATTTAATTAAATGCGAATATATATTTTATTAAATATATTTTATTTTATTTTCCTAAAATGAATTTTGTATTTGCCACAGTTTAGACAAAAATCTGCAGTACAGATTTTTTTTCCTGGAAGAGAACGTCTGTAGTTTTTAAAATTGTAGATCTGCTATCCACAAAATTTTGAACATTTAGGCATATAGCATATAGATTAATTATTTTGGTTGTTTCAATAAACAAACCAATTCTGCTGTAATTCCACTGTTCATTTGCATTTGCTAAAATTGGACCATAAACTGACTGGATTGTTGACATGATTTATTGTAAATCCTGATCAGCTGGCTGGGTATTAACAGTTGTGCAGAACACATTGATTTATTCAGTCTTTTCAATACTCTCAAATCTCCGGGGCCCAGGCATTTGTGAGGTGCTTAACATTACCGCTGCTTTTACAAGTGCCTTTGATGATAACAGATGTTCAAAGGATGCGTTCAGGATTCCTTACGCCTTTCTGCGAACCAGCCGAATGTAATGCCGTTCATAATAAAACCAGCAGCTTATATCTCGGCAGCGTGAAATCGAATGCAACGTATTCATATCCTGCATTTATCAAGTGACCGCTGGGTCCTGAAGGTAAAGAGACTGTGTGCCGAATAGCAAAATGATCTGTAATAGCCTGCGACGCGAGATTGCAGGAGAATAGACTGACAGATATAACTTGAAGTGGAAATTTTGATGAAAGATGAATTCAATGCATGACTAGGGAGAGTTTCTGGACTTTATCCGACCATTACTCCTTAAGATGCAAATTGTGTAGAATAAAACATGCATAAGCAGTTAAAAAGTAAAAGTTATTGCGTTTTAATGTTCTAAAAGTCAGATTACGCATTTAACATAGTGAATTTTAATGTTAATCATATATTTTTTAAATAAATCTAATAGGTTAACACTCTTCAGGCTGTTCGCTTGGAAGAAAAAGGAAAAGTTCCCATCAGCAAAAATGACCAGTATTCAAACACTCGGATGGGTTTGACTACGTGATCAAATCTAGACTATGGCAGGCAAAAAATAACATAAAGAATATACATAATTTCACACTCTATTCTTCACTTCATCCCAAGGGAATTATAATGAGTTTTGCGCATGGACATACATTACTGATGTTCCCCGTGCAGACTAAAAGCAATTAGTATTTATAATTGAAACAATCCGTTTTATGATTCCTTTATTTGTAAATCGGAAGGATGATGTGAGTTTTAAGTCATATAGTGATGGTGATCATTTTGAATGATACAGGCGAATGGCTATTAGACATCCATGTTGAGGAGTGCTGTTAGTGTGTGATGTTATTCCTCAGTGAATGACTGTGTCTCCTGGTTAATGGGCTGGAAGTTTCGTGGGACTTACCGCACGCTCGTTAAAGGCTGAGGTCATCTAAACGGCTGTCTCTGGAGATGGACTGCTCTACAGACATCAGATAAACCCCAATTAGTTCCACCAGCCAAGATAAATGGCCATATTTGCATGCCACCTCATTAATATTCCTTTACATTTTGCCCTGCGTACTACTTACACTTTCCATTTCTCCTGTTTTGATTAATTTATTACATCCTCATCACTTAATCTTAAAACTGCACTCAGTGGTGTTTTGATTATATTATTCTGGATGATATGGCAGATGTATACACCAAAGTTTTCAGTTATGACATCTTTTGTTAACTAATGTGCTATAGTTCATTTATTTCAGTAGGGAAATTGTTGAATAGCGTGTTTGAGAAAAAACTATGTTAGTTATGTGGTGGATGTTGCTCGGTGTGGGGGCCCCGCACGTGGTGGAGATTTGCCGCTGATTGCAGGGGCGGCTTTGCTGGCGGGATGCGCATTGAATGTCGCATGCGATTTATCGTGCAGCCCTAGTGTTATGTTAGAATCATTATTGTACTCATACCTTTTGTTCTTTTAATATTTTGAATTGTTTTTAGCTTTATTTTTTTGTTTTCATTTAAATGTTTAGTTTTGAAATGTTGTTGTATGCATTTGTCATTTTTATTTAATTTCTTTTATTTTCTTAAATGTGTGTATATATAGTATTTATAGAGTTTTAGCTTTTAGTTTTAATTACTTTTTCTTATTTGTAAGTCGCTTTGGATAAAAGCGTCTGCTAAATGACTAAAAGTAAAAAAGTAAAAGTAAAAAGTTATGCAATGTGAAGCAATGCATTTCTAGAATATATTGCAAGTTAGCAGCATACAACCAGAAACTATTCAATACTTAGTTTATTAAATATTCATGTGCTTTGCATCATCACAGATGCTTTAATGTGCTTTTATGTATCTTGTTTCAGAATGAAGTCTTCATTAGACAAATATAAACATTAATTTTGACAAATATTTAAACCGTTGTTCATGCAATTAAAACAGCATTAGCAAAATACTTTTATTTTATGGACAATATCCTTCAAAATCTTTTTTGTGTGTGTGTTTCACACAGAAGAAATTCATACAGGTTTAGAACTTCATCATTTTTTGGTGTACTGTATAAATATGAATATTTATTTAATATTTAATATGAATATGTTTGTATTTAATATGAATTGAACAATTTATGTATTTTACAAAATACATATATTTTTATTATTTACTTATTTAGTATGAATACATTTGATGTGAATATGTATTAATTTAATGAGTTTAATATGTATTTATTGCAAATATTTGTCATACAAATATTTATTCATTTATTAATTATTTATTTATTAAATACAATTTTTTTTTTATTAAAGATGAATATTTATTGATTTATATTTATTAAATAACTATTTTGCATTTGTCACAGCTTTTTTGTCTTTGTTTTAAAATTGTAAATCTGCTAAAAGAAAGTATGAAAAGTTTAGACAATCTAATCATCATTATTAATTTCATAAATATGCTAATTGGAACATAAATCCAGAGTTTACAGATATGAAAGCATTTAATGTAGAAAAAGTGTGTGCTGGGAAAAAAAAAAGGCTGTAGAAAAACTTTCACTCAGAAATTGATTGTTAATATCACAAAAAGTTACAAAGAAATGGCAAGTAACACATAGAATAGCACAAAATAACTTAAAAGTATTGCTTGGGAGAAACATACTCCAAAAACTCTTATTTTTGTTTTACTTACAAGTTGTTTTACTAAAAAAATCATTTTTACAGTGTGTAACTAACATGTGCGATTCAAGATTTAGTTCAAACCGCCCAAACTCTCCGAGTTCCTCGAGTTTATTACGATATCCAGTCGCGCAGAGGCGTAATTGGTAAGAAAAATTACCAATTTGGAATAAACACATGCAGGGTGAACTTCCAGAATTACTGAGAAAACCGATGACAAGATTGTAATTGGGGCCTAGAAATGCACAAAGCGCAATAGCGCAGCAGTGACAGTGATGGGATGGGCCGGTATGTGCACTCTGATGATAGAGACCTCTGCTGGTGAACCCCTGACATGACTCCTGCGGATGTGACAGTATTTCACAGCTCACTGAAGCGCCTATAATTAAATGCCCTGTTAAGCAGCACTCCAGCACAGCACTCGCCACAACAGTCAAAGAGTGAATATAGTCCACTAAATGAATAACGTTTTTAATGAGCTCTCGGCTTTCTCATATAGCCATTGGCTGATAAACGATGCGCTTCGTGTTCTTGTTTCGTGTCTTAACAGCGCTGCTCTTAATTTAAGCGGCCCGTAGGAAAACATTGTTGTGTACTGGTTTCACAATACGATTTTCTCACTTTTTTATGAGATTTAGGACAAATGGAAAAAGTGTCCTTTTATTATTTCTCAAGGCAAAATGTTCTCACTTTTTTTAATAAAATGAGATTTAGGACAAATTCTAAATGGAAAAAGTGTCCTTTTATTATTTCTCAGAGAAAATGCTGCACATTTCTTTGTGAAATTGAAATATTTTATATCAAACAACAAAAATAAATGGAAAATTTAAAACAAATCCCAAATCAAATATATAAATGAATGAATGAATGAATGAATAATACAAAAAAAAAAAAGAAATCTCTTCATATAAACGAGACTAAGGTTTTGCCTGTGCTCTTTCCTTGCTTGGATTTTTTGAATATTAGCATGTCCACATTTTCCAGCCAAAAATGCATTTGAAGCAAAAACAGAATTGTTTTAAAACAGGCTAAAACAGAATTTAGCTTTGTGAAATTATGCTACATAAAACTACATAAAAGCAGATGTTCTGAATGAGAATGCAAATTCACTCTCTGACAGTAGGTGGCGCTTATGGAACAGCAGTGATACAGCGTTTCCTTGATTAACGCTGTACAAAGAAGCGCTGCGTTTATCCACCTTTTTTTTCATAAGAGTGGCCACAGCTATTTGTAAAGTCTCTATTCCAGTCTCATCAATGTCTAGCTATTTTTAGCTGTACAAAACTGCTAATTTTGCTGCTTGATATTGAATATTATCTTAATATGAACACACTGGTTTGTAGTGCAAACAGTTTTACCGTTTACTGCATGTTGTTATTCCTCTCGTTATTTACTCTTGCCATAGGCTTACTTCTGCATTGAAGAATAAGGTGGATAAATACTCTTTAATATGCATTTTACAGAGGTAAGATGAAACGAAAATGCCATCAAAACTTTTCTAAAGACAGTCAGTTCCCCTCAGAGATACATTCATATAAACTCCTACCCCCAAATACATCTCAGTTCGTTTAAAATGTCAGTCTACTTGAATCATCACATATTTTCATCGATTTTAAACTGGCTCGGGGTGCATTGCTACATCCTTATGACAAAGTTAGTTTACATTTCTTCAACAGCATGTCCCATAATGTTTAAGAATGAGGTCAGTAGGCAGAGAGGAGCAGGTCTTTAGTGGCTGTTCAAACGCATTCGACCACATGAGCATCTACAAAAGCAATCCAATCGAATGCATTTTTGACTACGTCTGGAAGTGGTCAAAAGCAGAAAAGCTCAAAACCTTTCAGACCCCGTTTACACCTGTGTTTAGCATTGTCTACTGACAGAAATGCATCTTAATGCCAGGTGTAAACAGGGCCTAGATAACCCAGGGTTATCAAGTTAATGTAGTATTAATAGTTTCCAGTGTGAAAAGCCCAGTAGCCTCCCACTGTGTTTGCTGTGTTTGATCTGAAATTGCTGTCTTCTCAATAAAAATGTCTTTTGTTTGACTGTTTCTTCAGCTGATCGTCATATGAGCTCAGGGGGAACAACAGAGCAGATGTTCGAGCCTCCAAACACCAAATGCACCATTGAATCCTCTGAAGGCGCTGTGTAAGTACTCGGTGTGATTTTTAGCTCCTGCAGGAACTAGTACAAGCGTTATTCGGGGAACACGTGTCCTCTGAGAAGCGCACGGTTAGCAGGAGAGATTAAACACCATATTGAGACAACTTGGACGGGGTATTCTCATTACTCTTTATCCTGTCATTTGTCATCCCGCTAGTGTTACTGCAGATTGGCTGTCTGCCTTGAGCTCCTTCCTTCTCCTTTTCTGTCGTTGTCTCCATGGCTCATTTGGATGATTAGAGGACAGAAGGATAAACCGTTTGGCGCTATCTGTGTCCTGGCCCATTTAAAAGCCTTGTAATTCCTCAGTTATAGCAGACTAAGACAAAATCTGCACTTTTTTGTATACTTTTTTTTCATATCGTTAAAGACTTGTGAGCTATATTTCAAGTCTTCTGAAGTCATTTGATGGCTTTAAGTGACGAACAGACCAAAACTCAAGACGTTATTCACTGTAAATCATTCTCTTTGACACTCTATAGTCATTTGCATGAGGCCAAACACCTTTTTGGTGAAGTATTCCTTTAGAGCAGTGTTTCTCAACCAGGGGTCCATGGACCCCTAGTGGTCCTTGACGTAAGGCCAGGGGGTCCGTATAAAGTATGAATTTTTGTATAAATTTTGTATATTTTGACATGACAAAGAATAATCCAATATAGCTGATGATATGGCCAAATACTGGACAAGTCAGCTAACTGAATTATACTTGACTGCATTTGGTCCTCACAAAGACACAAATGATACATAGACGAGTCAATTTTGTTCTGGGGGTCCTTGAGGATGGTTCTGAATTGGACTGGGGTCCGGTACGCCAAAAGGTTGAGATTCACTGCTTTAGAGGATCACATATGGAGTTGATTGCTGATTTTACAACAGTATATTCAGAAAATTAACTGTCTGAAATGCGATCGGATCAGGTTGTTGCAGTAGCTACAGCCTAAAGTCTTCTTTCATGAGCATGTTCGTCTTTTAGAAATAGGAAAGTGATATAAGGCTGATTTATCTTGTTCCATCTTTTATTATCAGCTCTGTGAAAATGGTTTCTCAGAATAGTTGTTAACGCCCTGTGCCTCCCATCAAAAATATGTTGACGCTGAACTTGCTATTCATGAAATGATGTAATGGGCGGCATCGTAAATACAGTGAGAGAAAAGGGTGGAAACTTACTGGGCGAAGAAGAAACTGGGTGATGCGGGAGTTTCACAACAATCAGACACAAGCGCCACTGTATAAACCTGGGCGTCATTTAATGTTTCTTACTTTGAAGCAATTTTCTTCACACTGATGCATAAAATTAGTTTAATTGCTATTTCATTTCTTAAGCATTCTTAATGTTCTTATAAATAGCGATGATTAAAAATAATAAAATCTATAATTATATCATACAGTATTTTTTATCATAACCCTTCACAATAAGGTTCCATTTGTAAACATTAATTAAAAACAATAGTTAATATGAACTAACAGTGAAACTTCAAAACCATTTAATTTTAGTTCATGTTTATTTCAACATTTACGAATACATTATTAAAATCCAAAGTTGTATCTGTTAATATTTTTTAAGGCAAGACCTGACAGGCAAAACCCTGTTTTGAAAACCCATGAAT